TCCATGAAGATGGGCTTATTGATTAGTGTGGCTAAGGCTACTGATTTTAGGAGACTGAACTATTGATCTCTGGGGATGAGGCCATTGTTCTGTAGGAATGAGGCTACTGGTTTGCAGAAATGAGGCCAGTGACGCATAGGAATGGGCTGTTGACCTGTGGATTTGGGATCATTGGCCCACAGGGGTGTGTGACTATTGGGCAGTAAGGATGGGTATTGATTTTAAGGAATTGGACTACTGAATGTCGGGATGCCTTTGATCCATGAATACATTAGGAGGATGAAACTTTAGACTAGTGGGGATGAGTCTAACAATACATGGGAATGGTCAGTGGAGCTGGAGCACCTGGTCGGCGGTGATGGCATCCAGAATCAGAGGAGATGGGATTTTTGATCGATGGGTAGAGTTACTGGTTGATGGGAATGAGCTGTTGATCTTTAGAGATGAGGCCATTGATTCATGGAAATGAGGATTTTGGTTTAAGAGAATCTGAGAGCCCTGAGGATCCATGAGGATGAGACTATTAATCTACAGAGGGTGCTGTTGGGGTCATTGATCCATGGGAGTTGGGTTATTGACCCATGAGGGTGGAGTCGTTTGGTGGCAGGCATGGAACTATGGGTTATTGGGGATGAGGATATTGTTCTTTGGAGGTAGCTATTGACTTGTAGAGGAGAGGCCACTGGTCTGAGATGGGGTAATTTGTCAAGTTGAACTATTGGTCAGTGGGAATGGGGCTGTTGATATTTAGGAATTCACATATTGATCTTTGGGAATGAGGCCACTGAGATGGAGCTATTAGTCAGTGGGGATGCGTCTATAATTCATGAAGATGCTAAGGGCTGTGGTTAGGGGGATAAGGGAAATAGAGGGAAAGATAGGACTTTTGATCTATGGAGATAGGGTTTTTGATCAGCAGGGATGGGATTATTATCTTCGGAGATGAGGTCATTGATCCATGAGTGTGGGGATACTGACCAGTGGGAATGGGACTAATAGTCCGTGGAGGTGAGGTCATTCTCTTGTGTGGAAGGGGTATAGAAAGAGTACCTCTTGATGGGGAGTGAAGTAGAGACAGGATCATCGAATGGAAGTCCTGAGAAGACTGCAGAATCCAGCGACCTCTTCCACCACTTGCAAACGCTAGCTGCATGGACTAGCTTTCCTAGCACCCCCTCCTCTTACCAGCCCTGCCCCACGACAGCCCTCACCTGTCTGCGGGGTAACCCAGGAACAGGTAGCCGGAGGCAAAGCCCAAGATGAAGAGGATCTGCTCCAGGATCACCTGCCAGCCCAGGTCACACACCAGATCCCACTGGGGATGGGAGAAAGGTCAAGCGGGCGTGAGGCCCCGCCCTTGACGCCCTCAGCCCGCCCTCGGACCCGCGGCCCGCCTGGCAGCCTCACCTGGCCGATGGCGTTGGTGGTGAGCACCGGCAGGCCGTTGTAGTCCCAGTCCTTGAGGCAATGATTGAAGTCCGGCGGGGCAAAGCCACTGCACGAGGGGTCCGTACTGGTGGCGGTGGAGACGTGGCTGGCGGCGCTGGCTGCTAGGGCAGCGCCGGTGACGCTGACGACGCTGGCATTGGGGGGCTGTTCCCAGCCAGAGGCATTGGGGGGAAAGCCCCCGTAGTGGCAGTGCAGTGGGGGCGCCAGCGTGAAGATGGGGTCCGAGGCCATACCCAGCGCCACGAAGAGCACGGGCAGGCAGCAGAGGCCGAGCTGCAGCTGCTGGCCACCGCCCAGCGCCCCCACCTGGGCGAGCAGCGCCTCAAAGCTGAGAGGGCCTGGGGGCACGGCCAGCGACAGGCTGCTGCCCAGTCCGTCGCCACTCGTGTCGCCCTCACCCTCCCGCTCGCGCTCCCGCTCACCCTGCAGCTGCTCGGTGGGCACCGCATCTCCGAGGGTCCCGACCTGCTGTGGGGGGGTGGGGGGTGGGGCAGGAGAAGTGTGAAGCGGAGAAAACCGCAGAGCAAGGGGGGCGGAGAGCGGGAGCAGGGAAGGCAGTCAGGGGTGGGAGGATGCGCGGGAGGAAAATGCTGGGCGCTCGGCTGCGGCGGGGGTGCGGGGAGAGGATGGCGTAGCCCCTTGGGGCGCGGGCACTTACTCCGTTGGAGCTGGGGGTGATCTCTACAGTGCTGTCGATTTTGCTGCTGCCCCCGCCATTGGGCTCAGGGGTGCCGGTGGCCACCCGGGGAGCCAGCTTGCCGACCGCAGGGGCCCTGTCGGCCCGCGCCGAAAAGATGCTCTGTCCTCTGGCTCAGCTGCGCGCCGGGTGCCCGGACACTGAGAGCCTGAAGAGACCCCACTCTGCAGCTCTGCAGCCGCGGGCGCCTCCTAGGTCTCTGCGATCTCTGCGCTGCTTTCCCCTCCCCTTCCTTCAGACTCTCCTCCCCTTCCCACGTCAGCAGAACCTTCGGTCCAGACTCTTCGTCAGAGAGAGGAAGGGGGGCCGGGGCTCAGGGGAGGGAGGGGGTGAGGGTTTTATCGTCTGTTCTCTGGGCCTGCGGGCCATTGCGGTAAAAAGGAAAGAAAGTTGAAGGATAGTAGCTAGCCCAGGCGTCTTGCCAGAGTCCTCCTTTGCTTCCAGTTCTTCCCCATCACTCACTCATTCACTCAGCCATCCACTCACTCATTCATCACTAAAATTTATTAAGTTTCTACTATGTTTCAGGCCTTGCACTAAGCTTTGGGGATAACAGGGTGGACAAGACCTACCTTAGAGGAGGTTACTGAAGGGAGACAGACATGTAAACTGTCAATTACAGTACAGTTCATGCACCTAGAAGACTGGGTTGGCGCTGTACTCAGCCCTAGCTTCAGTCCTCGACAAGGAGGCCATTTCTCTGGGTTTCACCACCTCTATTCTGGTTGAATCTCCATTATTTCTCAACAGCATTTGGCACTGTTAACCACCATGCCTTTAAACACTTTCTTTCTTGGCTAATTCCCACACTCCCCTGGTTTCTCTCTCCTGCTCCCCTTTTCTCCATTGCAGGTGCATCCTCCTTTTCCTGACTATCACTCTGTTTCTGTGATCATCAGAGGCATGGTTCTAGGCCCTCCTCTCATCTCTCACTATTGTCTCCACCTTGTGGCATCTGTTTATTCATAGTGCAGATGGAACAATCTTTTCAAAATGCAGATCTAATCATGTCCTTTTCCTGCTTATCAGCCTTCAATGGCTTCTCCTTACTGTCAAAATACTAATATTCTAGACATCTCATATATGGTGCCATATGCATGGTCATATGCTGTCTGCAGCTCCATCCCCCCTTCCCCCTCAAACTCTCTGCACTCCAGCTACACTGGCTTTCTTTCAGTTTTTCCAATGCCACAAGACCTTTGCACAAGCTGGTTCTTATGCCTAGAAGCTTTCTTCGTCAAGTTTTACTCGTCTTTCAGCTGTTAGCTCAAGCATCTGTGCCTCAGAGAAGTCTTCTAGGCTTCTAGAATTGCTACTCAAAAGTGTGGTTCATGGATCAGCAGCATCTGTATCCCCTAGGAGGCTGTTAGAAATGCAGAATCTCAGCCTCATCGAGACTACTGAATCATTTACTAGATCTCCAAGTCACGTACATTAGAGATGCATTTCTCTAAAATATTTGATACCTGATAGGTACTTTATTCTCTAATCCCAGGTAAAGGCTGGAAAGAAGTGTCCTGTCAGTCTCAACCAGGAAATCATTCTGCCTTCTCTCTACTGAACCACACCTTTAACTTGTCTCCTCTGTTCAGAAATTTACCAAATATGGGAAACCCTTCTTTTCTAATGCATCAAGCAGCCTCCCACCACTTCCCCTCCCCCAACTCATTTCAGCATCTGTTCAGGACTTACTATGGTGCTGTCACAGCCCAACATTCCTTGGGGATTTGTCTGCATCCTTGTGTCTGTCCTGGAATAATCCCTTAATTTTATGTGGTGCTGGGCTGTTCATATGCATTATCTTGTTAGGTCCTTACAACACTTTGAGACCATTATGATCATTCTCATACTAAAGATGAAACCAAGACTCAGAGAGACTAGCATGATTTACCCAGACTTACAAGTATGTGGCATATCTGAGGACTTGAACTTAAACCTCTGACTCTAATTCCAAGCTAATCTCTTGAAATTCTGTCTGGAAGATGATGGGAGATGGCCTTTGACACACAGGTGTGAATTTTTTTGGCCATAGAATCTGAAAATGAGTTTCCCTTTGTGAGTAAAATAGGAAGGAACCCAAGTGGAGAAGGCAAATGCATAGGGGTGCCAAGAGACTTAAGTGTGATTGAAATTTGGGGTGCCCCAATCCAGTCACCATGCCAGGGTAACATCTCGGGAAAGCAGAACTAAAGCAACAGATCTGTGGCTCAGACTTCCCCTGTGATAAACAGCTGGAGTGATTCTCCATCAAAGCCCTGGTCTCATCAATTTCACCAAGGTGCTGAGGACTATGGAATTCCAACACATTGCACTCATCTGCCATCTTGGCTCCTTGAAAAGATGGTTTGTCCAGAGGATAATCAGCAGGAAGCCTAGGAAGTGGAGTGTAAGAGGCTAGACTCTCTTGGGGTCACCTAAGGAAGAGGATGCCCAGGCTGGCCAGCAATAATCTTTAGTTGGCTAGGGCTGTTCTGTGGTGCAAAGCCTTTAGTTGGGTTGACGTCTCCAGAACAGCACCTTTCAAGGCTCTCATGTGGCCAACTTCTCTCCACATCTGCACCTATCTAATGACATCATTTGACAATGAAGTCTTGGAGGAAGGTCCCCAGGTCAGAAATCTGTGTCTGTCTTCCTGGAACACCAGTCCTCAGGCTCTTCTTGATTTTCTCATCCTCCAGGTTTCAGCTCAGATATCACCTCCCAACCATCCTGTCCCACATCTCCTTCACTGGCCTCTCCCTTCATCTAGTTAGTCTCTTTGTATCACTCTGACTTCCATCACCAGCAAGTGTCAAGTCTGTGCCAGGCCTATTTTTTTATTTACTTATTTTAACGACTTATGACTCTGTCCCACCCTCACTAGGTTGGTACATTCACAACATCCCTTCAGAACTGTGGCTGGTGTATTATGGGAGCTGAGAACTTGCCTAGTGAATAGATGAAGGAACAAAATTTTCCCCAAACCTCTAACAGCATCCTACTCCCACTATGTGACCTATAGGCATGGCCCAGGGGTGCCAGGCCCACCCCCAGGCTACCAAGAAGCAGAGTCAGGGAACCAGACACCAGGGTTTATTGAGGTGCATGCCCATGCCTGAGGCCCAGATCTCACCATCTTTCTGAGGCCTTCACATTGGGGCACTCTCAGCTACCAGTGAGGTGCTGATGTTCTAGAGCCAAGAAACAGGAAAACAGAGAGGATCCGTGTGGCCCCTGGTTCCTGCCTCCTGATTATCTGTGTGGCCAAGCTTCCAGAAGTAGGTGGCAGTGTAGCGACCTCTACCCCAGGCTGAGGAGAGGAGGAGGGTCCAGTTCTTCCCTGCCCCAGAGGGCCTGGTGCCTGCCCCTGACAAAGCAGGGAATAATATTAAATATAAATAATTTATACAAAATGGCTCGTACAAAAGCTGTGGGTCAGGGGGAGGAGATGCCCCCGTGAGAGGCTGAGATGTCCAGAAGGAAAGGGAAAGATAACTCCATCTCTCCTAGTCCCTATAACAGAGCCCTCTAGCCACCCAAGGCCTGGAGGTAGGCTCTGGCAGATGAGGGGCAGAGCTGTGCCAAGAGACTCTCAGGGTGCCAGGCTGCTGAGCAGGGTGGTGAATTGCAGGGCATGTCCTGCCAGTTCTGCCACACACTGTGCCATCTCTTGGGCTGCAGGGAGGGATGGGTACCCCAAGGCAGCCCCCTTGACTGCCAGCACAGTGGCCCGCAATGCCTGGCCCAGTGCTGTGCCTGCAGCTCCGACCTGTGCTCGCAGAGGTGCAGAGGCTGCCAGCCGGCCCAGGGTATCCCCAACAAACACCAAGCGGTGAGCAGCCACTACCACCCTCTTGCCGTGGGGCACAAAGAGACGTGGGGGCTGGTTGATCTGCGTACTGGCCATCAGGGCAGCCACAGCCACCTGCAGTGCTGAGTAGTGGCTCTTGCACTGCTCTGCATAAAAGTGCAGGAGCTGCAGATCTCCAGCAGACAGAACCAGTGGCTCTCCTGAGGACAGGATCTCCTAGGGGCAAGAGGAGTGATCAGTGGGAATATTCTCATCAGTGCCACCTCCTCCCTCACTTCCTTTCTCCTTCCCTCCCTTGGTTCTTTCTTCCTTCCTTTCTTCCCAAAGGCAATTCCTTTAGCTCTTACCTCTGCCCATCAGAAAATTTAGATTCTTAGAGTGGTAGTGAAGTGTTCAGACTTGCTGTCAGACAGATCTAGATTCAAGTAACCTCAAGCTTGACTTCAGGCAAGTCTCTGAACTTCTTTGTTTCCTTATCTCTAAAGCAGGGAGTCTAGTACTGCACTGCACAATATAATGTGAACCATAGGTGGAACTGTAAACTTTTTAGAGCCACATTAAGTAAAAAGAAACTGGTATAAAATACTTTACCTAACTCTAAATATTAAAAAATGTAATTTCAGGGGCCGGCCCGGTGGCGCACTGGATAAGTGCGCCGCTTGGGAAGCGCGGCGGCGCAGCGGCGCTCCCGCCCGAGGGTTCGGATCCCACATACAGACTGGTTCCCGCTCACTGGCTGAGCGAGGCACGGGAGCAACACCGAGGGTTGCAATCCCGTTGCCGGTCCCCGGTCCGGTACGGGGGCAACACAGAGGGTTGCGATCTGTTGCCGGACACGGAAAAAGACAAAAGACAAAAAAAAAAAAATGTAATTTCAACATGTAATCAATATGAAAATTATTGAGTTTTTTTCCATACTAAGTCTGCAAAATTGGGGGTGCATTTTACATTTAAAGCACATTTCAATTCAGGTTAACCACATCTTGAATGTTCAATAGCCACGTGTGGCTAGTGGCTACTGGACTGGATAGTGCACTTCTACCCTGCACTCACAAGGCTGCACTGAAGACTGAGATAATATATAGGAAGGGCCTGGCACAGTGTATTATATACACTGTAAGCACCATATGTTATTAACTACCACTGTGATTAATGTTGATGCATGCAGTGTACCTGGCACAGGGTCAGGCACTCGGTAAATACTTAATAAATGGTAGCTATTGTGCTATGGCCATTCTAGACAGGGTGGGGGAAACCACTTTGCTTTCTTGAGGCCCAGAGAGATTAACTGACGGCCTCAGAGCCCCTGGCTTCTTAGTGGTGGAGCCAGGATTAGGAGCCGCCAGGTTTCTTAGGAACCCAGGAATTCACAGTTGGAAAGAGCCTCAGAAATCACCTGGTCCAGCTCTGACCCCACAGCCCAGAAACTCTTTCTGCCCCTGCTGCCCAGTTTTCTGACTCCTCTCCAACACATTCTTTCCCCTCTTTCTGAATTCCTAATATCCAGTTCCTTGCTGTTGCATTCTAACTCCTCTCCACTCTGTCCCTGCTTCACATGAACTCTCACCCCCATCCTAATCTATTTCCCTTGATGATGTTTCAGCTAAGGATGCCCTTCTGCCAAGTTCCTGTTCCTCCTTCTCCAGCCCCTTCTCTACCACCACCCCCACCAGGATTACCTGCTCCGGCAGCCCCTTCTCCAGCAGTTCAGGATCCCCTGGTAAGGCCTTATCCAGGGGTCTAGATCCCTGAGCTTTATCCATGCCCTGTAGGAAAGGATCAGGTCTCAGTGCAGGGCTGGGGGAGCAGGACAGGGTGGCCTCTGTCGCTCTCATGCCCCTTCCCAGTCCTCCTTCCTTCCCAAGGATGCTCCTGCCATTAGAGGTTGCAGTCCCTTGACTCTAGGTCTGAGAGAGCTCTGGTAGCCCCAGGCTGGGTTTAGGGAGAGGAGTGTGGCACTGGTACAAACGGTGTGGCCAAGTACTGGGGTCCTAGGCAGGCCACAGGGTGGAGGGCTTGGGAGAGGGGAAGGAGGGACGGGAGGCAGGGAGGTGGTGCATTTATGCCCCAGGCCTCCACGCTCCTCCCCCTGGTCCCCCTGGGGGAACTTCTGGTGGGGCTGACTGAGAGAAGCTCACCTTCAGGTGGACGTAGTCATACTCCTCGGCCACCGGGATGCCCTCATACTCATTGTGGTGTCCTGCTGTATCATCCTCCAACTCCCCGCCCTCTGGATCCACCTCAACCTTGGGGCCCCCATAGCCAGGCAGGCGGGGTGGGGGTGGGGGTAGAGGCCGGTCCTGGATGCTGCCCTTACGGCCTGGGCCAGGAGAGGGAGCCGGAGAAGGGCTAGGGGCCTCTGGGACAGGCAGGGCAGGCAGAGGGCGGCGGGACAGACTCTCAGCTGATGGCAGCCGGGGCCTGTGTGGGGGTGGGGGACTTTTAGCCAGAAGCTGGGTCAGGGTGTCCAGGTCATTGGAAGATGAGGCTCCGGGGGGCTCTGGAGAAGGCGGTGCCTCTGGCCCCAGCAGGGGCACATCGTAGATGCCCTCGTCAGTGCTCCCACCTTCCCCGTCTGCCAGCAGTTCCTCGGGTGCTTCATACAGGTTGAGGAGAGCTGATGCCCGTTTCAGGTTGGAGGGGGCAGCGTAGAGGGGGGGCCCTGGTTCCCGGCCCCCTTCCCACTCCAGATCTGCCTCCAGCTCTGCAGGTGACTTTGGGGTCAGAGGCACATCGTAGGGAGCGTCATCCTCTCCAGGGGGCTGTGGGGCAACCCGGGCTAGGGGGTGGGAGAAGGAGGCAGGAGAGTCATAGGGGCCACTGGAGGGAGCCCGGAGGGCAGTGGAAGGCACGTCATAGACCTGGAAAAGGGAGAGGTGAGTTTCCCTTTAGCTCAACAAAAGACCCTCCCTGAGGGCTGTTTATCCCCCACCCAACATACACAGGGACCTCTAGCCCTCACCTCCAAGACATCTCTGGGGGCAGCCAGCTGGGTCTCACTACCTCTGGGGACCTTGTAGATAGGATCAGGGGAGGGTGGGCAGGGTCCAGCCGGAGGTCCTGAGGCAGGACAGGGACGAGCTGGAGGTGGCACCACATAGACCTAGGGGACAAAGACAGGTGGGTAGGTCAGGAGGAGTGGGGGCCAGGAATCAGATAATGTCTGACTCAGAGGAGCTTAGAGACCTTCCAACCCCCCTGTACTGACAGGGACAGAGCTCAGAAAAGGTTGGTTGACAGGCTTCACACAGCATGAGGCAGTGGAGAGCTTCGGACCTTAGGACCTTAGTACTCTCCATGCCCGTTTCGCTGCAGACCCCGCTGGAGAGGAATGGGTTCTCCTGGCTTGGGGAGGCTCTAGCTCTCACCTCCTGGTCTTCATTGCTGTGCTCTGGGACTGGATTCAGTGAGACAGGCTGGGCTGGGGGTGCTGGGCCAGCAGGAAGGAGCTTCACTCTGTTGGCGGGCACAATGCCCTGCTGTCCATGGAGGGAGCAAAGGCACCAGCCATCCAGCCCACTGGCACCCTCCTTCTGCAGTACCCGTAGAACATCCCCTCGCCGGAAGGACAGCTCCTGGGGGGACTCAGCCGTGTTGTCGTACAGTGCCCGTGCCAGCTGGGCCTGGTGGATGAGCGGGGAGTGGAGATAGGGGTCTTCACACATATCAGGTCATGTCACACCCTGTCCAACCCCCTTTAGAGCTCCCCATTTCCCTCAAGCAAAAAAATCTGAACTCCTGACTGGGCCCTGCCAGCTCAGTTACCCGCACTCTCCCTTTTCCCTTCTATTCCTTGAACTAGACAAGGTCTTTCCAGCCTCAGGGCCTCTGTTTTTTATTTTATTTTATTAGTATTTTTTCTTTTTAATTTTATTTTGTCAATATACAATGTGGTTGATTATTGTGGCCCATTACCGAAACCTCCCTCCTTCCTCCCTCTCCCCTCCCACCCAACGATGTCCTTTCTGTTTGCTTGTCGTGTCAACTTCAAGGAACTGTAATTGTTGTGTCTTCTTCTCCCCTCTGGTTTTGTGTGTGTGTGAATTTATTTATTTATTTTTAGCTCCCACCAATAAGTGAGAACATGTGGTATTTCTCTTTCTGTGCCTGACCCGTTTCACTTAATATAATTCTCTCTAGGTCCATCCATGTCATTGCAAATGGCAG